GGTTGCACCAAACCACGCCGATCCATTCCAGGCTGTGCCAAGCCAGGCTGACCTGCACCAGGTTGCACCAAACCACGCCGATCCATTCCAGGCTGCGCCAAGCCAGGCTGACCAGTACCAGGTGGCACCAAACCACGCTGATCCATTCCAGGCTGCGCCAAGGCAGGCTGACCTGCACCAGGTTGCACTAAACTATGCTGATCCATTCCAGGCTGTGCCAAGGCAGGCTGACCTGCACTAGGCTGCAGTAAACCACGCCGATCCATTCCAGGCTGCGCCAAGCCAGGCTGACCTGTACCAGGCTGCAGCAAACCATGCCGATCCATTCCAGGCTGCGCCAAGCCAGGCTGACCTGCACCAGGCTGCAGCAAACCACGCTGATCCATTCCAGGCTGCGCCAAGCCAGGCTGGCCTGAACCATCTTGCACCAAACCACGCTGATCCATTCCAGGCTGTGCCAAGGCAGGCTGACCTGCACTAGGCTGCAGTAAACCACGCTGATCCATTCCAGGCTGCGCCAAGCCAGGCTGACCTGCACCAGCCTGCAGCAAACCATGCTGATCCATTCCAGGCTGCGCCAAGCCAGGCTGACCTGCACCAGGCTGCAGCAAACCATGCTGATCCATTCCAGGCTGCGCCAAGCCAGGCTGGCCTGAACCATCTTGCACCAAACGACGCTGATCCATTCCAGGTTGGACCAAGCCAGGCTGACTTGCACCAGGTTGCACCAAACCACGGTGATCCATTCCAGGTTGGGCCAAGACAAGCTGGCCTGCACCAGGCTGGACCATACCATGTTGATCCATTCCAGGCTGCACCCAGCCAGGCTGACCTGCACCAGGTTGCACCAAACCACGCGGATCCATTCCAGGTTGGACTAAGTCAGGCTGACCTGCACCAGGTTGCACCAAACCACGCGGATCCATTCCAGGTTGGACTAAGTCAGGCTGACCTGCACCAGGTTGCACCAAACCACGCTGATCCATTCCAGGCTGTGCCAAGCCAGGCTGACCTGCACCAGGTTGCACCAAACCACGCGGATCCATTCCAGGTTGGACTAAGTCAGGCTGACCTGCACCAGGCTGGACCAAACCACGCGATCCATTCCAGGCTGTGCCAAGCCAGGCTGACCTACACCAGGTTGCACCAAACCACGCTGATCCATTCCAGGCTGTGCCAAGCCAGGCTGACCTGCACCAGGTTGCACCAAACCACGCGGATCCATTCCAGGTTGGACTAAGTCAGGCTGACCTGCACCAGGCTGGACCAAACCACGCTGATCCATTCCAGGCTGCACCAAGCCAGGCTGACCTGCACCAAGCAGGACCAAACCACGCTGATCCATTCCAGGCTGTGCCAAGCCAGACTGACCTACACCAGGTTGCACCAAACCACGCTGATCCATTCCAGGCTGTGCCAAGCCAGGCTGACCTGCACCAGGTTGCACCAAACCACGCTGATCCATTCTCGGTCGCACCAAGCCAGGCTGACCTGCACCAGGTTGCACCAAACCAACCTGATCCATTCCAGGCTGCGCCAAGCCAGGCTGACCTGCACCAAGTTGGACCAAACCACGCTGACCTGCACCAGGTTGCACCAAACCATGCTGACCCATTCCAGGTTGCACCAAACCATGTTGATCCAGTCCAGGCTGGACCAAACCACGCTGATCCATTCCAGGTTGCACCAAACCATGTCGATCCATTTCAGGCTGCACCAGACCAGGCTGAGCTGCACCAAGTTGGACCAAACCAGGCTGACCTGCACCAGGTTGCACCAAACCATGTCGATCCATTCCAGGCTGCACCAGACCAGGCTGAGCTGCACCAAGTTGGACCAAACCAGGCTGACCTGCACCAGGTTGCACCAAACCACGCTGACCCATTCCAGGTTGGACCGAACCATGCTGATCCGTTCCAAGTTGGACCTGATCATGCTGAGCTATTCCAGGTTCGGCCAAATCACGCTGACTTGTAACAGGTTGGACCAAACCACGCTGACCTGCACCAGGCTGCACTAAACCAGGTTGAACTGTGCCAGGTTGGAATAAACCATGCTGATCCATTCCAACTTGGACCAAACCATGTTGATCCATTTCAGGCTGCACCAAAGCATACCAATCCATTCTAAGTTGGGCTGAATCTTGCTGACCCATTCCAGATTGTATCAAACCAGGCTGACCTGCACTAGGCTGTACCAAAACAGATGGATATACGTTAGGCTGTACCAAATCAGATGGATATGCAACAGGTTGTCCCCAACCACTGGGATATGCACCAGGTTGTACCCAATCAGGTGGGTAAGCACCAGGCTGGACCAAACCACTTTGATCTACAACAGGCTGCACCAAACCACGCCGATCTGCACCAGGCTGAACCAAACCACGTTGACCTGCACCAGGCTGAACTGAACCAGGCTGGCCTGCACCATGTTGCACCAAACCACGCTGACCTGCACTAGGCTGCATCAAACCATGCTGACCTGCACCAGGCTGGACCAAAACACGCTGACCTGCACCAGGCTGCACTAAACCATGCTGACCTACACCAGGCTGCACTAAACCACGCTGACGTGCACCAGGCTGCACTAAACCACGCTGACCTGCACCAGGTTGGGCCAAAGTAGCCTGATCTGTACCAGTTGGTACCAAACCTCGTTGATCTGCCCCAGGCTGGATTATATCATGCTCCTCTGTACTAGGTTGAATGAACCCAGATGTTTCCAAGCTGGGCTGTATAAAACCTTGCTGATCTGCAGCAACTTGCATCAAACCAGGTGATACCAAACCATTTCGATCTGTAAGATGTGGAACCAATCCATGTTGATCCATGCCAGGCAGTACTAATCCTTGTTGATCCATGCCAGATATTAAAAATCCATGCTGATCTATAGTAAAGGGTACCAATCCATGCTGATCCACACCAGGCTGTTGGTCTGTGCCAGGAAGTACCACGCCATACTGATATGTGCTACGTGGAACCATACCAGGCTGAGCTGTACTAGGTAGTTCCAATCCTTGCTGTTCTGTGCCAGGTACCAGTGGTGGCACCATACCATACTGATCCATGCCAGGTGGTACCAAGCGCTGCTCATCCATTCCAGGTGGCATCATACCAAGCTGATCCATCCTGAGGGGTACCACACCATGTGGGTAAGTGCTAGGATGGCGCCATGCAAGCGGATCCGTGCCAAGTGGTCTTAATCCATGCTGAACTGGCCTGGGATAGATTTGACCCTGGCTTGGATACACCCCCCTATGCTGATCCGGGGATACTTGATGATGCTGATCTCTGGCCACAGTGGCTTCAGGTAAGTCCTGTTGAACTGGACCAGGGTGTGCCTCTCGTTCATCTTTTCTTAGATGGGCTAAGCCATGCGGCGGCAGCTCTCTCGTTCTGTGATGATCTGACTCTACTCTGAATTGGGACATAGACGGATGTTGGGACTTCGCCTGGCCACCTTCATCACGGGCCCTTGGGTGCTGTTCTCTACCCGGGACTGCAGTAGCAGAGGCACCTCTGCTTCGTTCCCTGGTGACCCCTTCAGAGGGTTTTCCTATGCCACTGATTCCTGATAAGGTCTGATCTGAGCCATAACCACTGGGAGAATCCAGAGCTGGGTCAGCACTTGAGCCCTTGATGGGGACTCCACCTTGAAGTATATCATTTGATGTTACAGAAGCGCGCCCTTTGCGTTTAGGGAGTCCTGTTGTTGTCTCTGAGCTCTGGTTGAAGAGGAAGAAAGAAGTCAGTAACTACAAGTAGAAAAGCCTCGCTCACTCTAAGACAAGAAAATCTGGGACATCTGACTAGGATGACTTAGGGCTTTTGGTAAAACACACCCTCTGGTCCCCAAAACTGGGCTGGACACAAAGACTTTGACATTCTTGAAGGATAGGTCTCCAAGGCTTTGAGAATCTGCACATTTGCAAATGACATCATAATATGTTAATCCCCCTCATAAAAGACAGCAGGAACACTACACAATACAAGCGATCTACTCCAACTATTGCTGGGTCTACAAATAAAGAACATGAGTAATTTATTAAGTTTAAAATATAAAGTTTGTCCCATCATTGGCCCATTGCCGATGGTAGAAGTATCACTGCAGGGCAAGTAAACCATATATCTGAAATGTAAATGCACAAACTCTAGGGCCCATTTTAATTCCATAGATAAGATTTTCTCTAAGGACTCTTACAAAGGCTTCCAGGACATATGTACAGAGTCTACAGCACTGTTTCTGAAAATAGGTTATCAATAGGGGACTGATATATGTAGGGGACATACCCATAGAGTAGAATACTAAGAATCTGTTAAAAAATTATGGACTATTTCCATTTCTAGCCCAAACAGAATAACAGAAATTGGATTTACCCTCCTGTTTGTAACAACCAAAACCAAAAACCAAAACAAAACACAAACCTCAAAACGATGAAATAGTGGTTTTCTAGACACTGGATATCAGCTAGTAAAGGCTAGCAATCCCTGAAAGAAGGGGAGACCAACTAGGTGAGCCCTACTGTTGCCTCAGCTTACTGTCATTTCAATAGAGTCTCCAGGCTCATTTCCAGGAGTGGGACTCCCTGAGTTGAGGCGACAGACCTGAGCATTCAGGGAGATTGAAACAACAAGAGCTCACAGGACAGAGTATCAGAAAGAAAGGAGAAGCAGAGGGACACCTGGGGGGCTCAGTCAGTTGAGCGTCTGACTCTTGATTTTGGCTCAGGTCATGATCTCAGAGTCCTGGCATCGGGCCCTGTGTCAAACTCCGAACTCAGTGGGGAGTGGGAGTCTGCTTGAGGATTCTCTCTCCTTCTCCCTCTGCTCCTTCCCTGGCTCATGTTCTCTCTCTCTCGCTCTCAAATAAATACATAAATCTTAAAAAAAAAAGAGAGAGACATACATAGAGAGGATTCAGGAGATCTGTAGAGAGTCCTCTCTGGGTGTTCAGCACAGAAATGATCAGCATGTATATGTGAGGAAACTACCCAAGGTTGGGAAAAGAGCCATCTGCAAGGCTGGAGGGAACAGTGCCCAGACTCTCCCAGGGTTGGGAACAGTGCCTGTTTCTATCAGCCAGTTTGGAAAAAACTCAATTCAGGGGAGAGTACTCAGAAAGGTGTTACCTCAGAAGTGGAGAATAATCGGCTCTACACTGAACACTGCTATGGACCCACCAAAAAAACAACCATGGGCGCCTGGGTGGCTCAGTCGGTTAAGCGTCTGCCTTCGGCTCAGGTCATGATCCCAGGGTCCTGGGATCAAGTCCTGTGTCGGGCTCCCTGCTCGGCGGGAAGCCTGCTTCTCTCTCTCCCTCTGCCCCTCCCCCTGCTTGTGCCTCTCCCTCTCTCTGTCTCTCTCAAATAAATAAATAAGAATCTCTTTTAAAAAATCAACCAAACAGGCACCTGGGTGGCTCAGT